AGTCACATTTTCCCTGGTTCGATTTCACTATTGTTGGGGAGTGAATAATAAAGGGCCCCCCCCCCTCAAACAAAATGGGGGGGTCAATAGAGGAAACCCCAAAAACAAAATGAGGGTCAGACCGGGTCTTCCCTAAGTAGTATTCCAGTAAGTATTGGTTAGTATTGGTTTAGTATTGGTTTAGTATTCTTGCTGACTGGCTTAGTACTGCTTAGAATTGGTTTAGTATTGGTTTAGTACGCTTGCTGACTGGCTTAGTACTGCTTAGAATTGGTTTAGTGTTGGTTTAGTATTCTTGCTGACTGGCTTAGTACTGCTTAGAATTGGTTTAGTATTGGTTTAGTATTGGTTTAGTATTCTGGTTGACTGGCCTAGTACTGTTTAGAATTGGTTTAGTATTGGTTTAGTATTCCCTGGCCCCAGTCCTAAAAAAACTTTTCTCAATTAACTCCCCTTAAACAAATCTCATTATTGGCTTCCTGGGTGTTCCCTGTACTACCCCCTTGAAATTTTGGCAGGGCAGGGTGCAACTTTTAGTAAGGGCTGTCATAAAGAATTTGGCTGTTGGGGCCTCAGTTAAACTTCCTTTTCTGGGGAGACTCAGTAGTTCTTTGGAAAGGAAACTTCCTTTTCTGGGGAGACTCAGTAGTCCTTTGGAAAGGGAAGCCCTTTTCCTTGCAGGCATCCCTGGCCCCAGTCCTAAAAAACTTGTCTCAATTAACCCCCTTAAACAAATCTCATTATTGGCTTCCTGGGTGTTCCCTGTACTACCCCCTTGAAAATTTGGCAGGGTGCAACTTTTAGTAAGGGCTGTCATAAAGAATTTGGCTGTTGGGGCCTCAGTTAAACTTCCTTTTCTGGGGAGACTCAGTAGTTCTTTGGAAAGGAAACTTCCTTTTCTGGGGAGACTCAGTAGTCCTTTGGAAAGGGAAGCCCTTTTCCTTGCAGGCATCCCTGGCCCCAGTCCTAAAAAACTTGTCTCAATTAACCCCCTTAAACAAATCTCATTATTGGCTTCCTGGGTGTTCCCTGTACTACCCCCTTGAAAATTTGGCAGGGTGCAACTTTTAGTAAGGGCTGTCATAAAGAATTTGGCTGTTGGGGACCTCAGTTAAACTTCCTTTTCAGGGACTTCAATCATCATCTCCTTGTTGGTGGTGGTGGTAGGTTGGGGGGGGCGGGCGGGGCAGAGGAAGACAGGAGTTGCACTGAACTAGGGATTAATTATCAAACTTTTTTTGGGGGAATATGTTTCCGGATTTTGTGCTCCTCACAAAAACTTTTGTGTATTAACTCCCCCTTTTGCTTTTCAGGGGTGTGTTTTTTTTGGGGATTTTTTTTTTTGTATTGACTCCCCATTTATTATTCGCAACCTAACATTACTGGAAAGACCCACAAATCACATGTTGTGGACTTCATCAAATGGAAACCCTGGCTACTTACCTGGCCCCTCAAAATACACGCCTTAATCATTTTTTTTGGAATTAACTCGATTTCACAACTTGACATGATTTTCTCATCCCCTGGTTTTAAAGGGAATCGATTTCAGCAAAAACACACATCACACAATGTTTTTCCAGTGGACTTCAGCCAAAAAATGGGGTCAATTCAATCAACACCAAGTGTTTCAGTGGACCTGGACCCGCAATGAACCCATTTGTTCTGCCTTACCACTTTTTTTTCGGGGTCAAAGGCAGACAAAAGGGGGTCCATTGGGGGTCAGTGGGCTTAAACCACTGGTTACCTAGCTGGACCCTCCAAAAAAAGCCTTCAAACATGTTGTTTGAAGGGAATCGAGGAAAAAAACACAATCACACATTTTCCCTGGGTCGATTTTACTACAACAACACAATTTTTCCGCACCTTTCCCTGGAAAGACCCACAAATCGCCAGGTTTTTTCCGGTGGGCTTCAGCCAAATGGGTTTGGGTCAAAATTAACCCACCAGGATATGTACCGCAGGCTTTAGTCTTTGTTTCCATTTACCAGGGTTCCATTTGGGGTACCTGGAGTCTCCATGACCCTTTAAGAATGGGGTCATTACCCCTAAATAATGGGGTCATGGATCTATTTTTCAAGGGTCATGGAGACTCTAGGTACCTGAACCCTCAAAATTCCCTTAAAAATGGGTTTGACCCCCAAAATTATGGGGTGATATCCCATTTTTATGGGTAGTTTGAGGGTCCAGGTACCCAGTTGTGACCCACCCTGGCTTCACATCCTTCGAGGCCTGCCGGCCTGGACGTTGCTGGGCCTCTGCGGCGTTTCTGCGCTGCTGGGCCGCTCCTTCCGCCGAAGTCTGCGCTGGGCGCTGGGCCGATGTCTCCGGAAGGACCGCGGGCAGCGGGCGAACGCGGTAGCTCCTGGCCACCCAGGTCCCTTGCCCTCCAATCTCGGCTGTTGTTGGGAAACATGTTACATTTCTGCCTATCGTGGTTTAGTGGTTGAAATCCCCGCTTGGCTGCTAAAATATGAAATCCAAATCCACTTAACTGGTAAATTTTGAGAATTTTTGCTCCCCTTCCAACGTCAACCAAGCAATTACCCGGGTTTTGAGGGCGCGCCTCATAAGTTGAGGCTCCTAACTTCGGCTCTCAGCGGCTCCCTTCGGCTTTCAAGACCCCCTTCCATGAGACGCCCTACCCGGTTGGGGCCGGGTCTCAAACCCAGGTTGCTTGAAGGCCCTGAATCAAATGGGAGCCTCTGGGCAGGAGACAAGCCCGGGGGGATGTTCCGCTTTTTGGCGGTTTTTTTCCGCTAACCCAGAGGGTCCAAGAGCCATTTAAGGAGGTACTTAGACTTTTTACCCCCCAAAAGGCCAAAAGCCATCGAGCATGAAGCTGGGCTATGGTCGCTTTGTTGCGGAGTGATTTTCTGTGAAGTTTAGGTTTCTGAAATCGAACTGCTCTTGCCAAGTCCACCCTCCCCAGGCGCTAAATTTCCGGACATATGCCCCCCTTTTGGGTGGCTTCGGTTGTTTTTTTTTGCCTGCACGCCCAAACTGGGCAATTGGGGGGACCCACAGGGTGCTGTTTCTGATTTTCCAGGACAAGCGCCTTTGAGGGCGGCGGCGACTCGAAACGGCACGTGGGCAAGAGCACGTGCCTGGAAAAAGTGTACACAATCGGCGGTTCCCACCCGTCCCCTTTGGTTTTTTCAGGTTTTTCAGTTTTTTAGGGTTTAGTGGGGGTTGCCAGTTACCCCACTAAAAGCCGGGCTCTTAAAGCTTTTATCCGGGCTCTTAAAACGGACAGCCCAGAATCTAGAAGGGCCCAACCAGTATCTGCAAGTGTGCTGCTATATGTTGGTTCAAAAGCACCATGGGCACCCAACTCTTTCTATTCAGGCCCTGATATGTTGGCAGTCTACGAGATTCTTGCAAGTTGGTACTGCCTTTCCCTTGGAGATGGACCGTTCTTTTGGGAGAAGTCTCCTTCCGAAATAGCCAACGCAGCTAGGAAGTGGACACTCTTTGGGGGCGTTAGAAAACACTTAAAAAGGATACCATCGCCAGAAGTGCCACGGAGAAAACCCAAATGGGGAGCCCCTGAACAGTGTTGGGGGAGGTATGAACATAGAAACATCAATGATATCTTTAACATACAACAAGCGAGGCATACGTAAACCCAACAAAACCCTGTTGCAGGAAATTAGGGAACTCCGGAGTTTTTTGTTTCAAGAGGGTCCATTTGTTACAGTCATTTGAAAAGGAGACGAGTCGATGGGTCGTAGCCACCAAAGTACCGTTAAGAAATGGAACTTCACCAAACTCCAATGTCACCCAGAGGGTCCCTTGGTACCCTTTAAGGAGGCACTGAACGACTCCTTTTTGCCCCCCCAAAAGCCATTCTCATGAGCTACTTGGACCTGGGTCAGGGAATCAATGCGTAACCGGAGCTTGTTGCGACCCAAAAAACACTGACAACTGTGTAAGGCAGGGTTCAATGGAAACTATCTATGTTTACTTTGTCACTCTTTAGCAAGACTGGTAGGATCAACGAAAAGGCGCACAGACCCCTTTTAGAAGATGACAATTGCCTTTTGGAACAGGCACCGTCTGCGCTTCAAGCCATGTCTGGTGGAAGAGTCGCATCCAGACTCCGCGGGTCAACCCCATCGAGCCAAAAAAGAACCATCCGGGTCTAGCTGTTGGGGTTGTTGGGGGTGTTAAAGGGCAACCACAATGACAATCACCATTTTGGAGGGGTTCCCTAAAAAATGACACACTCATGGAACCTCCGTTTGGAAAAAGACCAGCTGCTGTAGCATGTGCCGCAACAAAGTCTTGCGAGGGTGCCAACTCGTCACTTCCAGAGTTCCGTTTTGGACTTTATGCTTGGCTTGGAAGCGTGATAAACATGGTTGAGTGTCGACTCCCTGCGATCCTTGGGCTCAGGAGCCTCGGTATCGAATCCGTATGAAGCGATGGCGCGGCTTGTGCTTCTTCTATTGGCCTTAGTCGTGTCAGTGCACGCCAGACGAGACGTGGATAGTGAGGTGACTCGGCGGATTCGGGGGGGGTTGGGGGAACTGAATATTTTTTAATTCCAGGCCTACCTTGCCGGTGCGATAGGTAGGGAATGAGTTGGAATGAACCCAGGCTTTGGTCCCCTTAAAGGAAGCCGGTTGCATGGTTTATAAGGTTCATTCCCTCATTCCCTAGTGAGCACCAGCAAGTTACGTTAGTCTCAAACTAGGGACAGACCCACATGCCCACGGTGATTGGTAGAAAGTCAAACTTGATCCGCGAGGCAAAAACGTATACCAAGCAAAGCCCGACTCGCTTGCTCCCTCGCAATCTGTTGTTTGTTTGTTCTCTTGGGGGGATTCCTTCCCAGTTTCTGAGTGAGGTTTTCAGGGGTGGTCAAAGTTCAGCCACCTCTGGGATCGATTTGTTTTTTGCGGGGGTTGACGGACAGTTCATAGTCATAGGCGTCCCCTTTTTTGGGTTAGTTTGATTAAACGTAGAAGTACCAGGACAAAGGCTCGTCGTTTTTGTTCTTCTTCTTTCTTTATCGAAGAGCCATCCTGTGCCCATGGTCCGGAGCCGCTTGTTCTTTGTTCGGCGCGTTTGGTTTGAAGTGGGCTCCAGACCATATCCTCCAAAATATATTTTTCTTTTTATTTTATTTTTTGGGTTGAGTAAATATGAAGCACACTTTGCACCATGTTTTGGTGTACGCCTTTGGGTTGCGGGGAACGTTCTGTTGCCTTGATGGGATTCCAAGAATGGCCCTAAGGCATGAGCTACAGAGGAAATTTCCAACTTGAATCGTTTTTGGTTGGTTGTGGCTCAAAATGAATCAGCTGGGGCAGACCGCAGGTTTTGATCCATGTTTCCTTAGGGCAACCCATTTTGGGTGCCGGTTTTTTGAGCTACAGCCATGTGGCAAATGTAGGTTTTCCCATGAAAAACAAGATGGGATCAGCCGTTGTTCTCCTTTCGCAGACCCTCCCCCTGTTCCTTAAAAGGACTTGGGAGTTCGTGTTCCGCGGCTTTTTCCAGACACTGTACCCCACAAAACAGTCACTGTTGCTGGTTGAAAAAGCGATTCGCAACTGGCGATCCAGGACCGCACTTTTGGTTGGCACCCTATAAAAGACACAAACCCACATGAGTTGATCAGAGCCACCGAACTCAAGCGGTTCGCATTACGTGGTCCCTCGCCTCGTCTTCATTGCGGGTGCTGAATTTGGGGCCAGGCCCCTGTACACCCAAGGAGTTCTTGGGGTGTCCAGAGGGCCTAGTGGAAGGTTGCGAAGAATCGATTTCGTGGCACTAAGCGATGGAAAGTGCGCCATGAACAGCAGAATCGTATCATTCCATCCATTTCGCAGCAAGGCTGTTCTTTGTTGGAATTTGCGGAATCGTCTCATTCCAGGGTGTCTGAGCGGTGGCGCGCAAGTTCGCAACCATCCACAGAAAGTGATTTTTGAAGTCCATCCAACTTCCATCGATGGGACCCTTGCCTTGGTCTTCCCAGGACCCGCAAGAACAGGGTCTTCAAGTGGAGTTTCGAGCAAAGGCAACTGCTTTTCCGTCGGAATTTCAAGGTTGGCTCACTTCCTGAGTTCATGAACTTTAAACTTTTTGGGAAGACCATTTTAGTGGTAAATATAAAGTTTGGACTTTTTTTGGGCCATCCACTCAGCCAGTGAGTTGAGACAGTTGCCTGAACCCTCAACCCCTTGCGAAAAAAACGAAGGGCCGGGACTGTCGACTCGAAGCCGCAACCAGAACTGGGGGTTGCACCCCTTGGAATTGTTTGGAGGGTCCAGCCAGCTGAGTGACGGCAATGGTTTGCGGGGCGTGGGGGTCCATTTGGCTTGAAGCTGACTGGAAGTTGGATCCGGAGTGAAGGCAACTGAGTTGGAAGAAGTTTCTTGCGATATGTGGGGAATGACGTTGGAATGAACTGGAAGGGCTGCTCCTGAAGTAGGAAATCAGGGAACCCGAAACCAGAAGGAGTTGCAATCGGGGGCCTCTTTGGTTCGTTAAAGGAAATCAGGAAACCGGGAAACCGGGTTCAAATTGGGGTCAGTTAGAGAATGAACCCGCGCTTTGGTCTCCTTAAATAGGAAGCCGCCAGTTGGATGGTTTGAGTTGGGGTCCTGGGGGTCTCTTTACTTGGTGGTTCCCAGCATTTCCTTAGCTTTTTAGCCTTTTAGTGTTTAATGGGGGTTTCCTTTAACCCACTAAAAGTGAAACTTTTAGGATCTGAGGACAGCCCAGTTCAAAGGAAGTCGCCAGTTGGATGGTTCAAATTGGGGTCATTCCATTTGGCCGTGGCTCAAAAAACCGGTACCAAAATGGAACCCTGGTAAGTGGAAACATGGACCAACACCTGCGGTCTGCCCCTCCTGTTTAATTTGGAGCCACCCTCAAAAAGATCCTCTGGGAATGAGTTTGGTTCTTCCAAGGAAACCAGGAAACCAGGAAACCAGGAAACCAGGAAACCAAAATTAATGGGATGGTCCAAATTAAGGTCATTCCATTTCTCATTCCCTGCATCTCTCGCAAGAAAAACCAACCGCCGCTGAGAAAAACATCGCATGAGTGGGATGATGTTGGGGTCATAAGCCACACCTCAGTTGCAACCAAAGCGAATCGACCGGACTTGACCTTTTGGTTTTTCCTTTTTGGTATCGGCCTTTTGAGCTTGAACGTTTTTTCCTTTTTGGTGAAAAGGCCTTTTTGACCTTGATGGCCTTTTGGTTTTTCCTTTTCGTTTTTTCCTTTTGACCTTTTGGTTTTAGTCTTAGTCATGCCCGAAAGGTGATCACCTTTTATTTCTGTGTCCGAACTGGGCCAGTGAGACACCTGGACCCTCAAACTACCCATAACAATGGGATATCACCAACCATAATTTTGGGGGTCCCCCATAATTTTGGGGGTCAAACCCATGTTTAAATTGGAATTTTGAGGGCCCAGGCACCCATTTCGTATTTTTCGCCCATGGCAGCGCCTTTGCAGAGGCCACCTCGCTGATCCAAGACTCGGCGGCGCGGGCCCCGAGAAGCGCCCGGCACGAGGCCTCGAAAACCGTCGAAGCGAAGACGGAGGCGCGGGGTTGCGCGGGGCGTTTTTGTTGGGCTGGGCTTGGCGTGGATGGTGGGATTTGTGTCAATCTGGGTGTGATTTGGCTTTGGTGCATTTTGCCAAGGGATGCTGGGACTTTAACTTTTTACCCGCTAATGGGTTTTCCATCAAAGCACTAAAAGTTAAACTTTTAGCAGGGGAGCAGAAAGCAACCGAGTTGGGGTGGGTTTGGCACGTTTCTGGTGGGATGGATTTGCATTTTTGTTTTTTAAAACATTTTTGCTGATTGTGGTTTAGTGGTGGAAATCCAAATCCACTTAACTGGTAAAATTTGAGAATGTTTGATCCCCTTCCAACGTCAACCAAGTTGGTGTCAATCTGGGTGTGTCTTCTTTTTGCTTTCGGGGTAGCCTCTTCTTTTGTTGTGGCTTTCAAAGGGACTTTTTTCTGGGGGGTTCCCCTAAAAGTAACACCCACATGGATCAACACGCATCAACACTCGATTGGAGCACGAGGATTCAACATAGGTCTCACAACAACAGCACCGCCCAAAACCGGCAAATTTGCCTGTTTTCGCAGCAAAACCAGGCATCGACAGTCTTCTATACTTTCCAGAGCAGCTCATTGAACCCTTAACTAAGCTATGCCACTCCCATGCATTTCTGTTCATGCAGATTGTTGCGGACTTTCGCTGCGTAACGTGCAGGAGCTGAGGTGGTATGGGGTCTCTTAGTGTGTCATGCGCTGAACATCTGCAAATAACAGGTCAAAGACATGGGGACTTGGCTAGTGGCTTGTTCCTGCGGATGAATGTTATCATGTGCTCCACCCCCCCCCCCCCTCACCGCCCCCATCCCCCCAAAACAAGATCGTTCCGGTTCCGGGCCACGCAGCTCCTGCCAATGAAAGATATCATGTTGCCCCCCCGTTCCACACTCACAGCTCGAGCTGTGATTGGAGCCGACACACGGCAAGTTCTGATAAGTCTCTCCGAGAACCCTGGGGTTTGATCCTACATTGACTTGGTGGCTCCCAGCCATCCGGTTCCTTGCCTTTTTAGCTTCTTAGCGTTTGAGTGTTTAGTGGGGATTTCCATTTAACCCACTAACAGTTTAACTTTTAGCAGGGGACCTAAAAACGGGCAGCCCAGTCCAGCCCAGTTGAGAATCTGGTGGAGTTTCTGCTGGAGAGCCACCCATGAGGTCTCTGCGACGTCCGCGTCGAATTCTTCTTCTTGGGCGGCGGTGATGTCGCTTTTCCAGGTCAAGCAGCAGCCCCAGAATCAGAAGGACCCAACAGCGGGGGAGCGAGCCCCGTTTCAGGGTCGGGCAGTTTTGCGGGTCGTTTTTCGGGCAAACACCGAAAAACATGTGCCAACATGTTGGGTTGACGGGGGGGGTTAGCCCGGACTGAGGGGCAGGCGCAGAGGACGCGAAGCCCGGAGTATGCAAACGCACCACAAATAAAGTTATTTGTTTGGTTCGTGGCCAATCGGCGTCTTCCAAGTGCTGTCAAACCTGCGTACTGGTATTTTGGATCTCGGATACGTAGCGTTGGCAGTCGTGGCACTTCTCACACGCGCGGCCAGTGATACTGCGGATGGACAAAATCCTGCACCACCTAAGAAACCCTCAAATGATGATTGGCCTGTAAAAACCCACAAACACAGGTTTTCCGTGGTTTCAGAGTGGTGCGAAATGGATTTCGCAACCATCCACAGTATGTCAAAGTGGTGCTGTGTCTTGCAGTGCCCAACCCCCCCCACCCTCAAGTCCGGGCCAACCCCCCCCCCCTGTCTACCCAACATGTTGTTTCGCAGCCTAGGAAGCAAGGGAACCACCCAACAGAGAAACCAAAAGAGAGTGGTGGTTACCTACAGTCGCTTGCCCGGGATCGACTGGGAAGAACAAGCAAGGTTGTTGCATAGCTGTTGATGTGTTCCTTGTAGCACTGGACTTGCAAGCCGCCCAAAGCTGCCCAAGCTTGCCGGTGCAACTTTTGGGCGCATTTTTTCAACCTCTGCCCATGTATGCCTTATTGAGGCATGTTGTCTCAATTGTGCACACCATTTGATTCAACAACTGCCGCCCAGCACAGGGCTATTTGGATGTTCGGCCAAGTGGTCATGTAGCCACTTGGGTTAGAAGCCCCTAATTAGCATTCATTTCCTGAGCTCATGGACTTCAAATTCATTGAGAAGACCATCTTAGTGGCCTTTACATAAAGTTTGGACTACCCAGCTGAACGGGGACTTGTAACTCAGTTGTTCGAAGCCAGCCTTTTGACCTTTTGGTTTCCGATTTTCGCCCATATTTAGTCACGCGGTCCGAACCTGGTTGTTGTTGGGAAACATGTTACATTCTTGCTTATTGTGGTTTACTGGGATATCCCCACTCAACCGCTAAAATATAAATTCCTGGAGATTCAAACGTCAAGGAATTCCTAGTCATTCTCGGCATTGACCCTGTTTTGGACGCGTACTCTCGCAAATTACCGCAAACGCCTAGAAACAGGAAACGCCCGCAAATTGAGGCAACACGCCCGCAAAAAAGGGCAACCGCCCGCAAAAAAAAAAGAAACGCAAAAAAAATGGAAAACGCCTAACGCCTAAAATGCCTCAAACGCCTTGAGAACCAGAATGGGAATTCCTCGGCATTGGAATCCCCAGGTTTTTGCACCCCTTCCAACGTCAACCAAGCTAAAGACGAGCGAAGGCCCCCGGCGCCACTCGGAACGGAACGTTCGGATCGAGCTGCCAACTTGCGATCCGAGCTCACTGAGGTTTGTCTGGGCAAACCGGCGTGTTTTAAAGCCACGATGGTTCTTCGTCGTACTTCAGGCTTACTTCCCGTAGACTTTTCGGAAATGCCGCATGAGCAATTGGGGGGGCCCAAGACTTAAACTGGCTGTTGTATCCGGATGTTTGCCCGCTGAAGCCTGTGAAAAGGGCCTTAAATGCCACTGGAGCTTCCGATTCGCGCTTCGCTCCGCTTGCAGGAGTTGGCCAATTTCATCGCAAAGAACTTGGTGAGCTTCTGAGGGGCGGGCCGACGCGCTGAAGCGGGAGCGCTTCCCGGTGACATTGCCACAGCAAAAAGACCCAGATGCCGAGGCCCAGCACCCGTAAACACTGTTTTTTGGGCAGTGCTTTGGATTGCGGGGATGGGGCAGAAGCAGTTGTTGCGGGGTGCTGGAAAGAGCAGTCAATATTATCCAGCCGATTGGTTCATAGACATATGTGTTCATTTTTTTCGGAAGAATGCACATGGAATCTGGAAGACCCGTTCTGGCCAAAACCTGAGGTGGTATGGGTATCCCCGAGAAAGCAGCAACGAGAGTCGGGATTACAAATTGGAGATGACTTCTAACACCAGGACCCTCAAAATACATATTGCATTGTTCCTCAAAAGTATGGGGGTGGATTCCCTTTAGTAAATGGATGTTACACTCGCCTTCGTGGAGACCTCCAGAAATGGCCCAGGACCCTCACCGTTTGTCAGGGCCGCCTTCACACTGCGGATGGTTGCGAAATCAGCTTCTTGCACTATGGAATGAATCCGTGCACGTATGGGGGAATGTGCATTGTTTGCTCGTATTTGTGCGGGAATGTGCATTGTTTGCTGGTATTTATGGGGGAATGTGCATTGTTTGCTGGCATTTATGGGGGAATGTGCATTGTTTGCTGGTATTTATGCGGGAATGTGCATTGTTTGCTGGTATTTATGGGGGAATGTGCATTGTTTGCTGGTATTTGTGGGGGAATGTGCATTGTTTGCTCGTATTTATGGGGGAATGTGCATTGTTTGCTGGTATTTATGGGGGAATGTGCATTGTTTGCTGGTATTTATGGGGAAATGTGCATTGTTTGCTGGTATTTATGAGGGGAATGTGCATTGTTTGCTGTTTGCTGGTATGTCTGGGAGAATGTGCATTGTTTGCTGGTATTTATGGGGGAATGTGTATTGTTTGCTGGTATTTATGGGGGAATGTGCATTGTTTGCTGGTATTTATGCGGGAATGTGTATTGTTTGCTGGTATTTATGGGGGAATGTGTTGTTTGCTGGTATTTATGGGGGAATGTGCATTGTTTGCTGGTATTTATGAGGGAATGTGTATTGTTTGCTGTATTTATGGGGGAATGTGCATTGTTTGCTGGTATTTATGGGGGAATGTGCATTGTTTGCTGGTATTTATGGGGGAATGTGTACTGTTTGCTGGTATTTATGGGGGAATGGGTCCAAGTAAACCCCCGAACAACTTAGACGATGTTGCAGATACACTTCCAGGCCGCATGTCTATAAAACAATTGCCCGTCAAAATTGGTGTTGGGCTGGATGAGCAGTTTTGTTGGAGGAAACACTCAGGTAAGCAAAGGGTCCTGATGCTTGGCAACCTAACCAAGCAGAACATTTTGTGCTTCTCGCATCTTTTACCTTGTTCGACCAGTCTCAACGCGAAATGCACAAAGCTTACCCTTTAGCACTCAGGGTTTGGTTCTATGCCATTCACCTTTCAGGCTTTGGACGAGTTGGATTTGCTTCCCTGAGTTTCTGGACTTGAGATACTTTTTGGGTCAGCATGTTGGTAAACAAACAGTTGTTGACTGCGTTTGTCATGGTTGTTGTTGGGACACATGTTACATTTTTGCTTATTGTGGTTTACTGGGAAATCCCCACTCAACTGCTAACATTTATTTTTTTGCTCCCCTTCCAACGTCAGCCAAGTTACAGTATGGCATATCCTCTAAAAGTTTACCAGCAAGGGACCAATCAAAGTATAGCCCGAGGTTCGAGGTTGTCGGTGGTCTTGCTGTGAAGATTGTTCTGAAGACAGTACTTGAGAATTTAAACATTGGAAAAATCAGTTGTGGGGGGGGCTGGGAGTTGCCTATTTGTATACCTCTTCTCGAGTGTCCAACCCCGTACTTAGATGCTCTGGGAGTCGGCACTGGAGCAAAACATACTGAAATGACCACCTGCATCGCCATGTTGCGTTAAAGAAAAACAACAAAATCCAGACACGTGCCCCGAGAAAAACCGTCGCAGTAGCTGGGGAAGAGCGGTTCGCGCCTGACGATCGGGTCGCCGGCCGTCCAAAAGCCGCCTTCCGCCTTCGGTCCGGCCAGCGGCGCAGCACGGTTTTGTTTGGCTTCAGGGCAGTCGGAATGAAGAGAAAAGCGAGAACAAAAAAAAACGAGGCTATCGATAATCAATCAGGTTTAAACAAAAATAATGAATTAAAGCAACAAGGTTATCGCAATCGGGTTTAAACAAAGAGGTTCTCGACAATCGGGTTGGCCGACACCGAAAAACGGCCAGCGCCCCAAAAAACACGTTGTACCTGAAAAACAATGACAACGGCCCCTGATTCGCCTGGCCACTCACACCTTCCATTTGCGGAACTGATTGTTTTCTTGGTTTTTACAAAGTCATGCTGACTATTGTCCTTTGCCTGGTGATCAAGGGCATCTATGACTACTGGCACGATTTTGTTGATTATCCCCTCTGTTGGTTTCAATCTTTGACTCTCGCAGCGGGACAACCTGTTCATCCCATCAAAAGGCCCCCAAATCAAATTCGGCGCCCAAAAAGGGACCTAAAATGCATAATGGCTCTCATCCCATCAAAAGCGGTTTGGATTTGTGGTTTGGATTTGGATTTGAACCATTTTCTGGTTCTTGTAAAAGGCAAAAATGGGAAGCCCCTGCGTTTCACCACTATTAAAAACCACCAAGCCACTGATCAAACTCCCAACCACAACGAGGAAAGCTGATCGAAGACACTCACCTTTCACTTTCCACCGCTCGCCTTTGAGAGAAACCATGGTGACGGAGGCCTCGCCCGACTCGCGAAGCGCGAAATGCGAAGGGGTCTGGTCGGCTCCTTTAAAGGCAAAAGGGGAGTGGCAGTTTCCGAAATGGGTGTGTCCTGTTTTGTTGTTTGTTTGTTTTTTTTTGGGGTGGCCCCCAACATGCTGGTGTTATATGGGGCCTTCTTTAAAACCACCAAAGAAAGGAGTACCCTCAAGCAAAGACACACCCAAATGGATCAACACTGAAGGGGAATTCCTGAGACCCTTCCATGCTTGTCAATTTGGTACCCCAGATAAATCCACCAGGGTCCCATGGGCAGCCTAAGGAGGCGTCGCGGCAAAGAGCAACATCGACAAGAAGAAGACCAGAGTCACAATCAACTTTTGTGTCAACACAGTCTACCCTGAGGCTCCGATCAACGGAATGTTGATGGAGCTCCTCAAACACGTCAACTTTTGACACCCCGACAAAAAGCCACTCGGGGTGTGGTATATATATGGAAATCCTGGGTTCTGCAAAAGCTCCGATCGGACCCTCCCTTGACAGACAGGACGGGTTCTACTTGGGTCCGGCACATGACTCCTGTAGTTACTGAAGGTCAGCATGGAACCTTCTGGCAAGAATCGCACCGAACTAGCCCCCCTCATCATTTGATGTCATCAGCTCGGCTCAATGTATGAACTCATATGGGCGTTCTAGAAATAGGGGGCCAAACACTTGGCGGGTTTTCCCTTTTCCTTGAAACCCAAATAAAGGGCACCGAGCCCCGGGTTCTGACCTTCCGTGACAATGCAGACCCCCGGACCCTCCAATGGAGAACCCCGACCAATTCCTCAAAAACTCTCAGCAAACCCATTTGGAGGGCCCAAAAACAGTCAGATCGGACCCCTTATGGCAACTGAAAAAAGGGGTATTTGAGTCCAACTGAACAAAGTGGGTTTGACCGCCCCAAAAAACCTGGAAAACGCGGGGATCTTTTGAGTAGGCCGGTTTGCCACCAGCCCCAGCGCTCAAATGCGAAGTTTCGCGCCAGGCGGACGAGGCGTCGGAGGGAGGGATTTTTGGAGAAATCGGTGGCACTTTGGGACGGGCCCGATTTCTTAGCTTCCATTTGCTTGATCATATTTCTTATTTTCCCTTGTTGGTTTGAAGAGCAATTTATCACTGGATGGTTTTTCCGGTGGTCTTAACCAAATGGAAGGTAGGTGTCGACTTCCATTTGCAGTTCAGAAATTATACAAGCCTAAATCCCTGAAGTTGGTGTTAAAGAGAATCTACTACTGGACATAGTGTGTATGGACGAACTCCATTTCGCACCACTTTGGAACACTGAACAGCCCTTATTTTTGGCATTTGACCGGGAAATCGAATCAGAAACTAGGGTTCCACAGTATAAATTATTGTCTTCTTCTTGTTTTCTTCTTCATCTCGTTGTTTTCTTGTTTGGGGGCTGATTGAAAAGACGTTTCGGGTGATCGATCATGGACTGGCAGGTAGGGACCCGTGAAAAGAAGCATGATAGCCAAGCGATCGCCTTTTTTGAGTCAGCTGTTTCCTTTGTTTTCGGGTAAAGTGGATGGAAAAAAGCGATCGCAACTGGCGATCCAGGCACCTGGACCCACAAAATTCCAACTTAAAAATGGGATATCACCCCCAAAATGGGGCGATATCCAATTTTTATGGGTAGTTTGAGGGTCCAGGCAGCCAATGTCAAGGGCCATACTGTGGATGGACAAAATCCATTTCGCACCACTTTGAAAACACGGGAAGCCAGTGCTTGTTGGTATTTACAGGGAATCATCATTCCAGGATTCCTAAGGAGGTGCAGGATTTTGTCCATCCACAGTATGGCCCTTTCTGGTACTGAACTTTTGGGTGACCAGTTACGCCTCGCGCTTTTCGCCTTTGAAAGTCAAGCTGATTTCGTTTAAGCCGCCACCTTCACTGGATTCACGTCACCACCCCGCTCGTAGCCAGCTGGGCAAAGTTGCGCATCGTTTTAGGTGGGATACCCAAATTGCGATCGGTGCGAAATCGGTAGGGAAAGTTGGAATGAACCGAAGGGGGATTCCCTTACAGGAAACCGCCATTTGGATGGTTTACACGATTTTACACAGGTCATTCCATCTCTCAGTCCCTGCTGAGAACCAGCAAGTTTTGTCCGGCTCGTGGTAAAACTGGTGTGAGCAAACACCGCTTGGAAGATTTGTGATGGCTGCGCAACACACTAAGACTCGCGCGGATTTCGGGGCTTTGCCACCAAATGTCTGATGTTGTCGCCC